GAGAGTACTGATTCAAGACCTCTAGGGCTGGGGAAAGTAGAGGAGTGAGAACACGGGGTTTGCTGGACCTCAGAGATACAGAAAACTTCTTGAAAAATAGAACAACTTTACAATTAAATAACATGCAGTGTTATACTTGGGCAACAAAACAAAAACAACAATCAGCAAACCGACTAACACAAAGGGGAAAATATTTTCTCTCCCTCCAGAAGCAGGGGAAAGGACAAAAGACACATAACAAAGGTACCATAGCGCACAAGCTGCTTACACTAAAGAACCAAAGACACCCACCGTAACAGCATCGTAAACCAGGGCTTGTAGCAAAAGCTTTTGTCCGGCATTAGAAGGCGGCATCAGCGTTCCATTCACAGCAGTGGTAGGGCCTTTTGTAATGGCATCTCCAGATCTGGCTATGCTACTTGTCCAGTTCTGGTTAATTGATTTATTCCATGTAGACTGCATAATCAAAAGGGAAACAATGATCAGATTATTTCTGAGACACAGATCCTTATCTCTACAGGCCCGAAAGCACAGGCAGTTCAACACACACACACGTTGGAGAAATCCCATATTGCTTAAAGAGGTCGGTTCAATGCAGCAAACACACTTTCAATGATGTCAAAACAACGCTAACCCTATCAAACTGACATTATTACCAGAGGACTTGGGGGTTGACTGCAGTGATTTGTTATGGCCTGGTGGAGAGAAAGTGGACAATGGGGGTTTTCTTAGTTCTGACCCACTATTGCTAATACTGTTCTGTCTGTGTCACATTACAGTAAGAGCTCATGCTCCAAATCAGATCAAAGTTGATTCCAAGACCCACAGGATACAGTTGATCACATAGCCCCACACCGTAGGCATTTTCCTTTTGAAGGCCTCATTTAAAGCCCACTGAAGTTAGTGGGAAAATGTTTTTTAACTCCGTTAGTTTGGCATCAGATTCCACTGCATGTACAAGATGGCCGTGGGTCAGAGGCAGTGGGACTAACACTCTACACGTCCGTAGCTACTTCATACAATGATCTCAAAGCACTTTATACAGGTGAATAAAGATTCTTATCTCCATGGAGAAACTCAGGTGCAGAGAAGCTACCTGACCTGCCTAATATCAAATAGTGGCTCAGTAGTAAAAAGTTAGGCTTATAAAGTCAGTTTCCAATACACCACTCTGCTTCTTTGTGCTAAGCTCCCCTGTAACAACTAGAATCTTCTAGCATTTTATCAGTTGAGCTTTTCCATTTTGCATGTTTTGTAGAAGGAAGGATCCCATTTCAGGTCAAATCTTCCGCTGAGCTTCTTTCACGCTTCCTTTTGAGTGTGCATAAGAAAACGCCACACTTGCCTCTATTCTCCCACACTTTGCAGGCTCAAACACCGACATCTTGAAATGTTTAACACTTACGTACACGCACGAGTTAGAATGTGCACCTGCAAACTCCATTAAGGTGAAGGGGTTTTGCAGAGGCACATTTTAACCCTTGAGCATGCAGAGGTGTTCCACGGTGTAGGCAAATGTTTGACCCTGAAACTTGCAGCACACGCATGTGTGTGCACTTGCAATTTTGTATGTGCGCACATAGAGTCTGTTGGCTGAAAAATTAAGGTGCTTTCTATTAATGAATTCTGCTATGAATCTCATCCTAGGAAACCTAGCAGTAGCAACAGCAGACAAAGCAGGTAGGTTACTTTTGAAATGCACTGTAGTAGAAACTGGTGCACATGGGCCGATTTTTATTCACACACTTTGTTAGCAAAATGGTTAACCAAGTTCAGCAAAGCTACAATCGATACATATGCGGAGCAATGACAAATTAATTTCAGCATTACTGTGTATTATACTAAAATAGCAATGGCTAAACAAATCGGAGGGCAGGGACCCTGCACAGTTACTGACTCACTAATGGGCATGGTAGTTTTCAGTACTTGCACAGTATGCAAATTACTGCACTCTCATTGGCTACTGTCCTTAGAACTCACCACCCACATGCCCATAACAAACATGGTTGCCACAACTTCTCGTCTCATCCAACTGACAGAAAAAAAACCCAATTATGTCTCTCAAACATCTCTTTGTTAAACATTTCTGTATAATAACTGCAACTTGAGGTGCTTCTCTTGACCCAACCGTCTCATCCAACTGACAGAAAAAAAACACAATTATGTGTCTCAAACATCTCTTTGTTAGACATTTCTGTATAATAACTGTAACTTGAGGTGCTTCTCTTGACCCAATAACAACAGTATTCTGGACTAACAAGCCACTTTTGACCTTGGAGTTACTCAGGCTACTCAGTTGTAACCTTATAAACAGGAAACACCTTCAACATTTTCTCTATTCAAGTTATTACACAACAACAACATAGTAACTCTCCTGGATGGAACAGAACAATTATTGGCTGTCTATGGGAATAAGCAATGTAACATTTTCATTTAGGACAATGAATGTTATTTGAGAAATAAACTGTACCATGACAATTATAGGCATTTATCCATAACTCACCAGCAAATTTGCCACACGCTTGTCTTGTATTATTCTAGCTATCCTAGTCTCTCTCGACACTTTAACTACAGGTTGAATCTCTCTGATCCAGCACTCTTTGATCCGGCAACATCCGTGGTCCAGCATGATTTTAGTGAGCCAGATGTCCACTTACCATGGGTGTGGCCAAGTTTCCCGTGGTTCCAAGTTTGTTTATAGCAATCTTTCCTGATCCTTAGTGTTCTGTGGATGTCTGTTCTGTGCTCTCTGATTTACCCCTACTTTCTTCTAAGACACTAGTAAGCACTGGAAGTGTTGGTAATGCTGCTAGACAATATTGACCTTCCGTAGTTCAGCAAACTCTCTCATTTGGCACCCAGTCAGGTCCTAAGGGTGCTGAACTAGAGAGGTTCAACCTGCACCATACTTTCTGTGATGGAAGGATCGAAGTCAAAACTCAAGTTCTATCAGTACATCATTACTATTTATCTACCATTGTATGGGCACAGGACTGTGCAGTAAGAGAAAGTAATCAATTGGCTCCGTCTTTACTTTGAAGGCTGCCTAGAACAACTGGTTAGGAATTTATTTTCTTCCTTCATGAAACATATCACCAAAAATGACAATTTTTGGTCTCTACTGCAATTGGTCTTTGAAAGCTTTAATGGGATTTTGTAAGAGATCTATTTGATATGTATCAAACAAAAAACACGTTTTTACAATTTTTTTTAATGTTCCATTTTGTCAGAAAGCCAATTTTTTTATTCTAAAAAAGTTAAAAAGAATTTCGTTGCGGCAATTGGTTTGCCTAGAGCTGCTGCAGGACAGAATGACGTAGGACAGTAAATGAGTTGCTGTGATAGCTATGACAATATCCCACAGTCTCTCTGGTTGATCTCAAGTGTATGTATCACTGCGGGCCAGGGATTATATGTAATTCCAGGGGAGATGCGGACCACAAACTCCAGGAATTAAGATCAGTGAGGGGTGACTGGGTGCAAGTATAACACTTCCAGGCTACGTCTAGACTGGCATGATTTTCCAGAAATGCTTTTAACGGAAAAGTTTTCCGTTAAAAGCATTTTCAGAAAAGCGCGTCTAGATTGGCACGGACGCTTTTCCGCAAAAGCACTTTTTGCAGAAAAGCGTCCATGGCCAATCTAGACGCGCTTTTGCGCAAAAAATCACCAATTTCGCGATCGGGGCTTTTTTGCGGAAAACAAATCTCAGCTGTCTACCCTGGCCCTTTTGCGCAAAAGTTTTGCGCAAAAGGGACTTTTGCCTGAACGGGAGCAGCATAGTATTTCCGCAAAAAGCACGGATTTCTTACAGTAGGAAGTCAGTGCTTTTGCAGAAATTCAAGCGGGCAGTGTAGACAGCTGGCAAGTTTTTCCAGAAAAGGGGCTGATTTTCCGGAAAAAACTGGCCAGTCTAGACACAGCCCCAGAGATGTACCACCACCTGAACAGGCTTGCATATACTGGTTCAAACTGGATTCCTCAGAGACCAACAAACAACGAAAAAAACTTTTGGACAAACAGCCTGGCTACGTCTACACTGGCACCCTTTTCCGGAAATGCTTAAAATGGAACAGTTTTCCGTTATAAGTATTTCTGGCGTCTACATTAGCAGGATGCTTTTCCGGAAAAGCACTTTTTCCGGAAAAGCGACCGTGGCCAACGTAGACGCGCTTTTCCGGAAAAAAGCCCCGATCGTCATTTTCGCGATCGGGGCTTTTTTTGCGGAAAAGACTACCGTGCTGTCTACACTGGCCCTTTTCCGGAACAGTTTTTCCGGAAAAGGACTTTTGCCCAAACGGGAGCAGCATAGTTTTTCCGGAAAAACCCTGACAATTTTACAGTAGATCATCATTGCTTTTCCGGAAAGGCAAGCGGCCAGTGTAGACAGCTGGCAAGTTATTCCGGAAAAGCGGCTGCTTTTCCGGAATAAGTGGCCCAGTGTAGACACAGCCCCTAAGTTTGAACTGACTAAGGGATGTCTTTCTAATCTGTCACAGAGAGACCCCAGGCCTTCCTGGGACAGGTTGGAAGATCTTTGCCCACTGAGGACTAGGAATGTAAAAAGTCGGTGACAAAGGTAACCGTGTCACGGCTGAAAATCGCCGCGGCTCCACGCACTGCAATATCAAACTTAAATAAGCAGAGCCTGCAGGGAAGCCTCCCCAGGAGTAGCTCGGGAGGAGGTGGCTTCTCTGCCACAGCACAGCTCTGCCTCCCCAGGGAGGAGGTTTCCCTGCCACAGTGAAGCCATTTCCCTGGAAGCATAGCAGGCAACAGCCACTCCAGGGGAGCCAGCGTGTAACCTGTTGGGGGGACGGGGCCTGCCACAGACAGGGGTTGCTCTGCAGCAGCCCCTGCTTGCTGTGGGCCGTGTGGGGCTGGAGCAATCCTCCGCTTGAGGCGGTCAGAGAGCTGTTCCAGTACCCGTGGTTAACCGGAAGCGGTAAGCCATACCCCTTTAGGATGAGGCTTACCGCTTAACCTTTCACATCCCTACTGCGGGCCCATAAGACTGATGGGTGGCCTCTGGTAAGAGTTTAGCATGCGTCCAGGAACTTTTATTGTTATGATCTTTTCTCTGTAATGCTTTCATCTTAAAAATAAACTTGCCTGCTTAGCCCAGGTCTACACCATACATCACAACTACTTTCCTCAGGGTGTGAAAATCCACACCCCTGCGTGACACAGGTATACCCATCTAACCCCCAGCATAGACAGCGTTATGTAAACGGGAGAGTGGCATAGCTACGGCCTCTTGGGGAGGTGGATTAACTATTCCGATGGGAGACGTTCTACCATCGTTCACTAATGCACTACAGCGGCACAGGAACGAGTGATGGGAACAAGTTAGCAGTGACATTTGGGTTGAGCTAAGAGGGTGGGAGACCAGGCTTGAGAAAATCAGAGAGAGAGAGAGAAAGGGAGAAGCTGATACATGGGGTACCTTCCTGGTG